GTCAATCTCAGCACTTACTAGGATTGTTAGTTTAGGAAATTATTGTCAAAAAAACTTATAACAAAATCAATAAATTTAATCTAGTAAATTGAAACATTTTTCGATATTGGTATGAATTTGTGTATGTGTATATCATACAGCGAGAAATTATAATAAGGAACACACACGTACGCGAAGCCCAGCTCTCGAAAGTCAAACAAAAAATATTTACAAATGGTGGCACAAAATTGACGTAGATTATGACGCCTGTTATTTTCTTAGTGATATATATTTTATCCAAATATAGCCATGGGTAAACAGAAATATGTCTATGACAGCAGGACTACTTTCCATATATGGTCGTTGAGATTGTAAGACAGTAATATAGCGAACAGATGGCCACTAATTAGGACAGACCTATCTTGCAGCCCCCTGTCGTATTATCATTGATTTCTTTCATTTATGTGCTTAGCTTCCTAAATGTTGATATTTAATCACTGTTTCTTTTGTCTATTGTCAGCGTTGGTTCGAGCAGTATAATTTGGATATCAGAGAATTGATATTGTTATATTTTGAGGGCTATTGTTAAAGATGCATTGTCATTAATCATCGAAATCTATTCTCTTCGAAAGTTCCTGATTTATTTAGATAAGCTGTATGATGAATCACTCTAAATTTTTAATTTATATTTATCACCATATCTCCTCCTCTTCTTCTTGTAATCAAATGATGTAACATTATGAATAATGGCATACTTTGTTTTATATCTGAAGGCCGCTTTTGAGAAATAAATAAAAGAAAATCAATTAAAAATGTTGAAAAGAGAATAAAAGAAAATCAATTAAAAAGGTTGAAAAGTTAGTATGTTGTACATTTATAATTTATATATTATCGCAAAAATTTTACTTCCGTGCAATTATTAATAATGGCACATTTTTATCTGTAGACCCTTTTTTGAGTATTAAAAAAAAAGAAAATCAATTAAAAGGGTTGAGAAATCAGTGTTTTATAGATGTTAACGTTAACATTTATAATTTATTAAATTTATCACAAAATCTCCACTTCCATCCAATAATGAAATGATAAAAACTAATATATAATGGCATAATTTTACCTTGGAATTATGATAATGGAAAAACAATCAAAGAGTTGTAAATTTAGATAAGTTAAGATAAGTTTACATCCAATAATAAAATGATGTAAACTAATGGCATCATTTTACCTTGGAATTATGATAATAGAAGAACAATCAAAAAAGTTGTAAATTCAGATAAGATAATTTTACAATTTATATTAATTGAAGAATAATATTTTAAATAAGGCAGGAAGTATTTTTATTCTGTTATTTATTTAAAGGCTTGACGCATTCATTTAGTACTATAAGAATCACTTGCAAACTACAATTTTGTGAAAGATGATTCTCGAATAAGAATATCAGTCCAAAAATGGTTCAATTCTGTTCAGTATGAACAAAGTTAAGATAAATTGAAATTTCATTGATCTATGCTGCTTAAACGTAATCTTTTATTGGTATCAGAGAAAGCTGATGGCCCTAGTTTAAATCTGATTGAATCCATGCTGGGACATTATCTAGTGTTTTTTTAATAAAATGTTAAATTATTAATCTGAATACATATTAATGTGTATGAGGGCGTGTGGAATTTGATATTTTAGCAAATGATTCATCATTACTTTAATTGAAGTATAATGTTTTAAATAAGACAGGAAGTGTTTGTATTAAATGAAAAGAAACCGTAGATAAAAAAGTTCTTACAATATAGGTGTAAGCTTGAAGTTTATATTTACTTTCCCTATAGTAATTTGATGAAAGAGGAACACAGCTGCCATTAAGTTATTAAAATTATATTTGTATCTGATGAAAGTGGATTCCTTTATTGTTTGTGGGTAGTGATACTAAGATGGTGGTTTTAAAAAATCGAAATTTCGTTTCATCACAAAAGCAAAAGTCTGTTTGTTCTTGTGACATAGTATAGTATAGTATTGTCTTGGGCATGCCCTGTTATTCAGAATGTACGACATTTCGAAGATAGAGGTTTTAAACCCTAACCCTAACTAATTAGCACCAGTCACCACTTGTTTGACCTCTGTTGCCGAAACATTGGTATACCCTTTTTCCATACCCTCAAAGATTATTTAAGTGCATACAAAATAAAAAAAGAAGTAAGTGATAACCTGTGTTAGTCAAAGAATGACCAAGTTATATTTATTTCACTCTGTGGTAGAAAAATTGGTCCTTTTCCCCCACCCTCAAGGATTCTTTAAATGCATACAAATATCACAGGCACTTGAAGGGATTAAAATAAAACTTCTTACTACTGCTTGACTATATATTAGTATATACTATAATATATAGTCAAGCAGACTTCTTACTACTGCTTGACTATATATTAGTATATACTATAATATATAGTCAAGCAGTAGTAAGAAGTTTTATTTTAATCCCTTCAAGTGCCTGTGACAAATATATACCCACATATGTTAGTCACAGAATGACCAAGTTATATCGATTTAGCCCAGTGGTAGAAACATTGGTCTTCTTTTTTCCCCCACCCTCAAAGATTCTTTAAATGCATACAAATTAATAATTACCAACTTATATCGATTTAACCCTGATCTTTCATAATTATGTAACTTAAAAACAAGCACAATTATTCTTAACCTGTAGCGTAACTAATATTATCATCATCTGTTCAGCTTAAACAGGCTTAATTTTCACATTTATCAGTATTTGTACTATTTTAAATTGTTTTTCCTTTATTACATCATCTGAGTAATTGACCGTTTCAAAAAGAAAGTGGGCCTAAGACTATAATTCAATTCTTAGCAGAAGTTGATGTTAATTCTCCAACCCACAAGGAAGTGAATTTAGTGAACAGAAAATGGAGAAAAATAAATAATCAGGATTTTTAAGATAATGCTTTTATGATGAAAAACAACAATAAATGGGATCAATATACTTTAATTAATAGGTTTTAATTATGTTTATATTTAGTAATCAGCTTAAACTATTTGGTTCTATCTTAGGAACATCGAGTTTAATATGTGTGTATAATACGATCATGTTAATTTCAAGTTAGTTTAAAGATTCATGGTGAGTCTGCTTTATTTTGGTTTTAAGTGTTATATATATAAACTATTACTTATACATCTATTCACATGACAAGCCTATAATCATCTTCCTTGACCATAAGATGGCCGAGATTTAAATGGATTTTAACGATAAAATGTATAATTGAGACTTAAGACTCAGGTTGCTATGATAATAAACTATCTACGCTACATCTTCAGTCATAACTATTCACCCAGAATAAAGTAATTATAATTAAATTTTTAATATATTCAGCTCTTTATCAAAATCTTATTTAATTTATCTTTAATATTTAACTTAATGTATAAGATGGGATTTGTTTTAAGTCATTTAGCCATAAGCTGCGATGAATATGATGCAAGAGTCATGGCATAAGCTTAATTGTTCTGGAAATATACCTGTTCTCAGTGAATTGAAATGGGGTTTAACGTCCTACTTTTCTGCACCGTGGTTGTACGTGACAAGGAGTTGGGTTGTCTGTCCAACCTCGTGGGTTTTCTCCGGGTCCTCCAGTTTCCACCCACTGCTAAAGACCCCTACACACAAGTGAATTATTGAAATAAAATTGAACCATGTGTTAGTCCCAAAATGACCTAGTTTGTGTCAAGTGGAGGTTAAACCCAATTTCTCTCTCTCCCTCTCTCTTTCTGCACTGACTGGGGTAATGAAAGACGGCAGATGCCATACAGTGTGCTATGAGCGAAATTTTATCCAGACAGCAGCGTTACAGCCTACTCTTATTTCGAAATTCGAACTATCAAGGGTTCTTTTATCAAAATGTACACAGAACCACGTTTTTTCATCCCATTCGAACAACCAGATGCTATCCTTGAGATGGAGGGCCTGGCAAAGAAAAGTGTCTAGTTGTTTGGATGGGACGGACATAGAGGGAAAGTGGATACCAATGGAAATCGAAATATGAGTAATGCCGCAGTCTGGGCAAAAAGACTCTCATAGCACCCTGCATGGCTTATTCCCGTCTTCATTCACCGATAGGTTTGAAAAAGTAATGTGTTAAACCCTTTTCATTTCTATTATTGTGGTGTAATCGATAATACATAACCAAATGAAATCAGACATTTTTCACTGAAGATAACATTTATAGAGAGTCTTTAATCCCTTTGAAAACCGTAAAACAATACAGGTTTGTCCCCACTTTCCAGCACAAATTTTTGTCGTCTCTGATAATTTTATATGTTATCATAAATTCTGCGTGTATTTAACAGAATTTTACTTGAAATTTGTGTAATTTCTTTGTAAAGACAATACAAGTTGCATGGTTTTAAGTAAATATTCTTTCAACATTATTCTCATTTCTCGCTCCAAATGATGTCACAGGATTAAAGTAAAATATGAAAACAGTTTATTGAAGTGCAGGTCGCTTTCATTGTAAGACTGTATACAGTCCTTACATATATTTTCAAAGATGCATTATGTAAGAGCTAAATATGCCTATTGCTGGTCTTTATTTTGGCCTCAAATTGTAATTAAATTATTAATTAGACATTTATTTACATGACAAGCCTATAATCAACATTCAAGACCATCGGAAGGTTGAGATCTTTAACGGAAGCATTGAATAATAATAACACAGTAATTGTGTATCCGTAAAATTGTACCTGGTGTTAGTACCATGGTTTTCAACCTGGGGTGAATTCTCTCCCAGGGGGGTAATGAGATTGTCCAAGAATTAAAAAAGCTATAGGGCAATTTCAAAATTGATGTTTGGCACTGAGCATGTAATTTTACACTGCATACCCAACCATGTTACACGCTATATAATAAATAAAGTCAAGGTATTGGGATCGATTTTGATATTTTATTGTGGTATATGGTGATGGTGGGAGATCAATATTGAAAAGGGGGAACAATTAAAGAAAAAAGTATTAAACCATGTTTTTTTGTATTTTAGGTATGTTATCAACTTATAGATTATATATTAGAAAGATGGTTTTTACCAACATTTTCTGATGTAACAAATGCTGTAGATACCATTGCTGCACAAGAAGTTCATATTTTACAAGTAAGTCGGTATTAGTTCATTAAGCATTGTCAAATAATTTTATTCAGGTGATAATGCATCTTCACTTCTCAGTTAGTTATATTTTTAAGCATACTTATCAATTTGAAAAGAGCAATTCCAAAATATTTTTATTCAGGTGATAATGCATCTTCACTTCCCAGTTAATTATATTTTTAGACATATTTTTATGCAGGTGACAATGCATTTTCACTTTCCAGTCACTTATATTTTTAGACATACTTATCAATTTGAAAAGAGCAGTTTCCAAATATTTTTTTTCCGATGACAGTGCATCTTCACTGTAATTAATTATGTTTTTAGCTAATGTTCGGCAATACTTACAAATTTGGAAAGAGGACATACATGTTATTAAAGATACAGTCCCATGAAAGTTTTTATAGGGTAGTTATTTCCAATAAAAGTATGGCATATTTGGTATATATATAATATACAGTAGAATCTGCATTAAGCAGCCACCCAAGGGAATTTTCACAACTGACCGCTTAACGGGAGTGGCCTCTTAATAAAATCTCAGTGCTTTTTGTGCTGACATAAATTAAATATTACGCTTGGATGCATTGGAAGCGGTAAATTTGACCGTCGCTGAATCTTGCGCCGAACGAAAATTCTTTAATCAAATCTCGGACATAACTTAACGGGAGTGGCCTCAGAATAAAATCTTGGTGCTTTTTGTGCTGACATAAATTAAATATTACGCTTGAATGCATTGGAAGCGGTAATTTTGACCGTCGCTGAATCTTGCGCCGAACGTAAATTCTTTACTCAAATCTCGTACATAACTTCTGTATACTTGTCATTTTGTACCAATCTTCGATACTACTGTCTACAAGTAGAGACACTCAATCTCACCCCAAAAATATCCATCTGATTAAAATACAGATTTATATTTCATTTTGTTCTTTTATACTTTCGATGGCCTCTACGACATGAAGATCTTACCAGTTGTGGTGGGAGGTATCGTCAGAGGTCAAATGAGTGGTTTTTGACCCTATGATGGTAGACATTTGATTAATCAATCAGCATTGATGTTTCTAGTGGATAACCCACAGTTCCATGCAACTCACGCCAAAAACTTGCCATAACAGACCGCTTCAATGGCTAATCCCTCACATCAATAAGAACGTGGGTTATATATAACAACTCTTCCAGATCCTAGTGTAGTAAAGACAAGTTAAACGAAATTTTGAACTATAAAAATGAAACGAAATAGGATATGTGTTTTAATCAGATTGGAAAAATATGTGTGCACAGGGCATAAATTTAAGGGGATCACTAACAGGCAGTCTGTCTCCTGCTGTCTGCTTGAATGATGTATACCACTTGGTTTTGTTGAGGGGAGTTGGATGGCCGAATGGTAAGCCCGTGCGCGCTGTATCATTAGGTCTGTCATTGAGTCAACTGGCTTGGTTTCGAATCCCTGGTTGTACGTGACAAGGAGTAGGGTTGCCTGTCCAACTTTGTGGGTTTTCTTCGGGTCCTCCGGTTTCCTCTCACTGCTAAAAACCCCTACGCACAAGCAAATTATTGAAATAAAATTGAACCATGTGTTAGTCCTGAAATAACCTAGTTTGTATCAAGTGGACGTTAAACCCCATGTCTCTCTCTGTCTCTGGTTTTGTTGTGAGAACAGTGAGAGACAAATGTACGTCAGACTTTTTCGATTAAACAACAGAAAATGAAATTGGCAGAGAATAGTCCAAGAATTTACTTGAGTTTCGATATTTATGGTAAATGGACAACCAGTATTGACAAATGATACAAGCTTTGACAATGGACCTCTCACCTAAATCAAGTCACATGACAATGAAGGATGCTTAAAATAGACATTGCAGCTTTGGGTAGTTTTCTTTCAATTAAAATGTTGAGAGTGATTTGAAGCAGACTTATGATAGATATATATATATTAGTTTAAATATGTTTTTAGTCCAAATACATCATTAAATCACAGTTTGTGCTTGTGAAGGCATCTTTAAGAGAAAGGGGATGGGCTATAGGCTCTGCGTGACAATGTGATACCATGTAAACATTTTGTTATGTAAACTGTTCTACTTTTTCATTAATAAGAGAACCCTTCCTCAAATTTGCATGGTATCCATGAAACGGAAAGTGCATTTCTGGCCTTAAATTTAAATTCAAACTTCAACGACACTGTAAAAAATGTGATTATATATGGGCATTCATTAATTTCAAGTCTTAAATTCTATACTGCATGCAACACAAATTGTTTTTTTCACAAAGTGCATTATGAACTTTTGGTATAAATGAGGCAAATGCATAGCAACGAGAGAAAATCAATATAAATTGGAATTAAGTTGATATTATGAATATTTTACTCTCATCAATCATAAATGAATCTAATCACTCATACACTGTAAATCACACTTCATTCTAATTTCATTGATTGTTCTATTTTTTTCTTTTTATCTTCATTTATTTTTTTTTTTTTCTTCATGACTTTATTAAAATGTGATTGATGTTTCAATGTTGTGGTATAATGCATCATGTAGGTCTATTTCACTGTGAAAGAAAATTTGATTTCTAGCACTCTATCTAATTTGGTTTCTCATTTGGTTTCTCACTTCCAAACCTAAAAGAAATCTACCATTTATACTTTATGTGAGTCATAGAGAATATGTTGATCTTAATGGTACCTGTATGTAGAATGTGTTTGGAAAAATGGAACACTGGGTTAAATCATCAATAATGTCTGTTGTATAACAAGGCGGCTATGTATAGATATTGGGCGTACCAGTATAAGGGAAGTAACTCTATTTAAAATAACATATTCAGTGGATACAGACCACCAAATTCCTTCATTTATTTTATATCAGCAAATCAAATAAGGGAGTTTTGGTTAACGTATATATATATATATATATATATATATATATATATATATATATATATATATATATATGTATGTATGTTTTTTGTCATGTGTTGTGGAGCCCTTTGTTTATGGGCCCTGGCTTAGTTGCATCATGGTAAAACTGGCGGTCGGAAAACACACTGTGGTGCCCAAAGTATTTAAGTTTGGGTTTGAACTGTAAGCTGTAAAATGATACACAAACTGTAACACTTCTTTGAAATCATGTGAAACAGTATTCAGATTTCTGGGAATTGTCCAGTTTTGTGGCTAAGATATATGATTTGAATTTTAGATAAACCAAAGTTAAATTCGAAAGATATCTGTAGATCAGAGTTGAGTTAAGCCAAGGTAGTTGGTGTTGTATTGAACACTGCTTCTTCATTAGCCAGCCCTGGCTGGTGCAGACAAATATGACATTAAAGATACTTTCCCACAAAAGTATTTATCGGGTGGTTATTTCCAATAAAAGTATGACAATTTTGGTATATATATGGAAAGTGGTTCACCCAATCTTTCTAGAAAAATACTGGATTCCTTGAAAACACTGGATTCCCGGTGCACGCACATGACAAAAATGAGAGGGTGTCACTAATTGACAGTCTGATGATTAAGGGCTGCCTACTCGAGTGACATCAAAGGTTGTGCGCAAAGACTGTCTGATCTCTCAGTGTTAGGGAGTGCTTGATGTATTTGTTGTTGAACTTGATGGTGAGCGGACTAGGACAGACTTAAATGTACAACAGTTTCTGAGATAAATACCATGAAAAAGACGTGGCCGCTGGATAATCAGAGAATTTAATTAGGCTTCAATATTTATGATAGATGGACAGCGATTAAAGACAACATCGCAATGAATTATCCTCCGGCTTCACATCCATTGCTAGATACCATGTCAGCCAAGTCATGTGACACAAACATGACTTCTTTTAAAACATTTATTATAGCTTGGGGTATTTCCACATAAATACAATGTTTTGGGAAGGATTCCAAGCAAAATTTAGATTAATTAGTTTAAATATGTTTTTAGTCCAAATATATCATCAAATCACCCAGATTGTAAGTCTCATTTCATTTCTTTTTATGCTGAACATGGACTTGAAATCAAAAAATGTTAATCGACTATTAATTTCTAGTGATTATCATGCCACTTGGGTGTTTATGTTACAAGGGAAATAACTCTTGTTTTTATCCTTCAACTAGCCGGATGCAGACCACCATTAATTTCCTCATTGACTTCAATGTTAATTCTGGCCTCTTTGCCCACCTCCAACTTTTCCCAAAATTTTCGTTGGACTGAATGCTTTTCACTACAGATAGAGAAAAAAATGGTCATGTCTTTGCACTAAAATTTTTATGAGGTTGACCCAAAATTTTGAGATACACAATCTTGAAGAAGCATACTAAAAACATGTAACTAGTTGTCGTACATATCATCGTAGCTAACCTGATAACCCTGTTATCCTTCCGCCTCAAAATCATGAATATTTACCAAAACCTGGCAGAAAATGTTAATTCAAATCCTCTTCGTCCATTCTAGACCAAAATATCAACAAAAATGAGCATGCAAAAGGGGAGATAAGAGACAGAGAGCGAATGGCTATTAATAGACGAACAACAATTCGTGGGTACCGAGATGATGAAATTTAATGGTGGTCTGCCTCCTATTGCAGTCTGACATTATTAAACATGCAATACTTTGTTTCGTACTTGGTTTAGTTTCAGTTGCTCTGCTTCTGATTCAAACCAGTCATAACCTTGGGATAAACAAATCAGGCAACTTCAGTAGTCATGTTAGTAAATTAGGAGATTTCAGATTTCACTGAAGTTGCGTAAAATTATTTCCCCAAAACATTTTCTCTGGTTATCACAGATAGTGATACTTACTCAATTTTTATACGCCCACATTGAAATGTGGTCGTATATTGTCGTCGCCCCCATCCGTCCGTCCGGCGTCCACAATTGCTTGTGGACGCTCTAGAGGCTAAAGTTAATATCCGATTGACTTTAAATTTATATACAGTGTTTAAGGCCATGAGACGAAGAAGCCTATTGATTTTCAGCGATTTCCGATAATTACTGCCAGAGTTATGGCCCTTGATCACTTCAAAAAATCTTGTGGACGCTCTAGAGGCTAAAGTTAATATTCGATTGACTTTAAATTTATGCACAGTGTTTAAGGTCATGAGACAAAGAAGCCTATTGATTTTCGGCGATTTCCGATAATTACTGCCAGAGTTATGGCCCTTGATCACTTCAAAAAATCTTGTGGACGCTCTAGAGGACAAAGTTAATATCCGATTGACTTTAAATTTATACACAGTGTTTAAGGTCATGAGACAAAGAAGCCTATTGATTGATTTTCAATGAATTTTTATTACTTGGAACAGCTAAATCCATGATACAGTATTAAAAGTTTTGTATACAAAACGTTAGCATTGGGCAGAACTTTATAAAAACCAAACAAATTCTAATGGTTTTCTGAGTTGTTGCTCTTAATCAGATTTTAGTGTATTATAAATGTTTCATTACCGAAAAAAGTAAAAATATGCGACAACTCTTGTTGACTGCCCGGACGATTTAGCTGCGGGCGTATGTTTCGTTGCCTGGCAACCTATCTTTCTATGAAGCTCTGTCCGGAATATACAAGCAAAATCCCATCACTGGTCAATGTACTGATGACATTACTCTATCGTGAACCATTCCTTCTTCAGCAGAGTCTGTTTATCATTACTTGGACCTGAACCATTCTTCCTTCCTCTGAGCTTGTTCCTGATTTTAGTCAGAACCTTTCTTTTCCTTCACTGGATGTTTTATGATTACTTTGGCCTGAACCATTCTTTCTTCCTGAGTCTGTTTACTGCTGGGTGGTAAATGTTCTTATTAGTTTGGTTGAAAGTTTTTGTTGGTTGATCTTCTGTCACATCAGAGCTGTAACTGAAATTAAATAAATAACTGGTTTGGCAAGGCTCCTGATGACTCAGTGGGGTAAATGAGTAAGGCATATGCTCTTTGTGGGATTTGATAGAATATTTAGAATATTTATTAATACGAAGTGTATATTTTTCCGTCCGACGGTTCTGTACTTTATTTACTATTTAGCCGTCATTTCCGTTTGACATGTTGATTCCTGATATATTCCACCATTTTGGAACATTAAAAACAACTCGTCTTTCAAGTTTGGTGCAGGAGCACGATTTTACGGGAAAAACATAAACCACCGACAGTCTAAGTACTTAAATTAAAAACCAAAATCCGCAGATATGCGCCCTCGACCAAAATAGAATAATATTCTAAATGCTTTTCTACAATTTACATTTATTATCTTTTTTTCTTTTAAAAATAATTCTCCAGTTTCTACCATCAGAAATTAAGTATGGCTATTTGCTTCCTTATAAGAAACGGAGAAAGAAGCATTCTTAGACAAAGGATGAATAGACTTGACTGGTGGTTTTGGGTTAGGGTTAATGTTAGGTATAGATTAGATGTTAATGTTAGACGGTAAAATAGCCCACAAATTGAAAGAGCCGGCATCGTTGCTAAGTCTAGGGCCCTGTTTCACGAAATTTTAACTAAAGATAAAATCCAAATTTTAATAGATACTTCAATTTTGATTGGCTAAGCATTAAAATCAATCTAATATTGTCCAATCAAATTACTAAAATTTGGATTTTATCTTAGTTAAAATTTCGTGAAACAGGCCCCTGGCGCATGTCAAACGGAAGTGACGGCTAAATAGTAAATAAAGTTAAGAACCGTCAGACGGCAAAATATACACTGCCCAATATTAATAAGTCTGTGGGTGTATATCTTTAAGGTTTTAACTTTTTATACATAATACAAGACACAAAGAAAGAAGGACAAGCAAGTATGTTTTAGCAGACTGAAAAATAGTAATTTATTCTTCTCTCCAGGAATTTATGGAAATGTTTTTTATTTTAGAATTTTCTGGATGCCTTTACTGAAACTGGGGACAGCCTGTTTGGGTGTTTGATGGTTCATGGAAAAGTTGCAGTCGCTACTAAAAAATGGTGGAGTTTATCTGCTACAGAATTAATCTTATTGTCATTGTTAGTTGAGTCATTACTTAGATGTTCCTCTAGAGATGTTCCTGTTTATTTACCTCAGATGAGTCCATCGGTAATGTATCAACACTTAGCCTTCAATATGACACTAATAGGCTTTTTAGACTCTTATATTTAAATGGGAGTGTATTGTTCAGACATATTTTAAGTCAAGCTAGTTTACATTCTTTGCCCTCGTCGGATAAAGGTTAAAATTAATTACTGCACATGCCCAAATCTAGCTTTTTAAGCCAACTGTTTAAGATGTCCAAGATAAGCTAGCTTTTTTAAACAAAGCCCTTTTGAACACAGAGAGCGGAAGGTTTTAAACTGGTTTATTTGCCACACCTTGCATTCAGATGTGTTTTTATACGCCCACATTGAAATGTGGATGTATATTGCCGTCGTCGGTCCGTCTGTCCATCGTCCACAATTTCTTGTGAACACTCTAACACCAAAAGTTATCATCCAATTGATATATGTTGTTTACATTAGTGAGATGAAGAAGCCTATTTAATTTTAATAATTTCCGTTTATTACGTCTAGAGTTATGGGCCTTGTTTCACTTTGTTGAACCGTGTGAACGCTCTAATGTCAAAAGTTATTATCCGATCTTTCTGAAATTCCTATGCATGATTTAAATTAGTGAAACGAAGAAGCCTATTGAATTTCAGCAATTTCCGTTCATTAGTCTAGAGTTATGGCCCTTGTTTCACTTTATTGAAACTTGTGCACGTTCTAACGTCAAAAGTTATCATCCGATCTTTCTGAAATTATATGCATTATTTAGATTAGTGAAACGAAGAAGCCTGTTGAATTTCAGCAATTTACATTTATTATGTCTAGAGTTATGGCCCTTGTTTCACTTTATTGAACCTTGTGAACACTCTAACGTCAAAAGTTAACACCCGATCTTTGTATGATTTAAATTAGTGAAACCTTGTGAACATTTGAATGACAAAAGTGATCATGTTATCTGCATGAAATTTATATGCATTATTTAAATTAATCGTGGACCTTATATTATAAGGTCCATGAATTAGTAAAACGAAAAAGCCTGTCAAATTTCAACAATTTCTGTAGATTACTTCCAGAGTTGAGACCCTTGTTTCAGTTTGGAGAACCTTGTAAACCCTCAAACGACATAATTTATAATCTGATCTGTATGGAACTGTCTTGTAAAGTCCCCCAATTACCTACAAAGGAATAAATATGCGACAACCCTTGTCGACCGCTCGGACGATTTAGCTGCTGTGGGCGTATGTTTCGTTGCCTGGCAACCTATCTTTAAACAAGTTGAACTTAAGAGTCTGACTGAACGATTACGATTCTAGGCAGTTCCCTGTCAATAATTTCAGTACTTGAGGTATGGATAATGTGGTCATACAGAGGCTTCTTTATTACACTTCGAGTGTAGTTGAGAATCAGAAAAAAATCTTGATCTGAATTTAGTGTTAGTGTTTTCATTCAAATTGTATGTGAGGTATCAGAAAATTTACATCTGAATTTAACGATTGATATTATTTTCATCCAAATTGTATCTGAGGTATTCACAATATCAAGTTATAACTGATACATATTCTCCCACTGATAAACAACCTGAATCCGATGTGATATGAGTCCATGGGTTCCATGTCGGCTGTATATGCCGGTCATGAATGAGGGCTATGGAAAATGACTGAAGCTAGATCTGACCCATCAGTCATTTTTTATTCCGGAAAAATAGCATAATTTTTAAAACCCAATTTTCAAATATGGCTGTGATCAACCGCTGTCATGTAATTATCTGATCGTAAACAAAAATTGAAAGTCTTTCTGCAGAAACAAAAGGAATCACACTTGATTTTGGACTTAATCAGGCATCTCTCCTGACCACGAGCAAATTGCTAAAATAAGTAAAAGAAAGGGTGATGATATAAGATTTGTTTGAAATGTGATGTGTATAAAATTGTATGCAGGTACCTCACAGATTATTGACATTTAGCTTGATGAATGGTGTAGATGTTTGTATCATTTGCGGTCCGGCACCATCGTTATCTCAACTAGAAAAGGAGGTTTGTTAAATACTAAATAATTATTACATATTATTTTTTCATGACAAGGGAGCCACAGTGGCTCAGTGGGTATGGTGTTGGCTTACTAACCAAAACGCTCTCAGGTACAAGCGTAGGATTGGCCTATGATAAGTCTCAAAAGTTCCCCCCTTTGTAAGTGGTTCGGAAGGAATTGTATGTACAAAATGAAATGAAGAGGGCATATGACATACAGTGTGCTATGAGGGATACTTAGCCCGGACAGCCTCACTGTGTCAAACTCTTATTTTGAATTCCAACAGTACAGGATTCTTTTGTGTGCACACCAATGTGTACACAGGGACTCGATATTTTGCTCCAAACTGAATGACTAAACACTGTACATGTCAGACCTTCAGTCCTGCGCCATTGACAAGAGGGAACACTGCTGGAATATTCCTGGGAAGGTTTCTCAACAAACACTGGTTTGAACCCCAGACAGCCTGGTTAATGAGCCAGCACCTTACTCACTGAGCCACCGCAGTTCCCTCTTTATGTACAGTTTGAATGTCACTCGGAATAAAATTCTCTGCATAATGTGAAAACATTAAATAAATACACAAGCAAATGAATATGACAGAAAAGATAACAATATTTGTAAAAAGTTGATTTCATTTTCAGGTGGGAAGATTTTGGGGAGCTGCCTTTGATTCATTAAAGTCTTTACGAGAAGTTCATCCGAGAAATATACCACCTAATATCACTTTAGATCCTAATATAATGGGGTGAGTAGGGCTGAAGGGGTTGTAGTCGGCTATAATACTAGATAAGTACCCAGGATACCGACTGAAAAACTCTGTAATGGTACCATCGGGGCTCACACTGTCGGTCGCCAAAGTTGCAATTTGTGATAAAAATATGAAAGTGGCGATTAAAATGTGATTTTGGCGATAATGTTTTGTGGTACTGGCGATTCTTTTTGAGAACTGGTGGAAAAAAATCTTAAAATTCTAATCGTATTTATCCTGGATTAATCATTATTGAGTGTCAATCACGTGGCAGGATACTATAAATTAATAAACTGGCCAACGATATTCCGGATCGCATCAATGAGTAATACTAATCAGTTGTCTTGGATTAATGATTAGTTGATTGATAATTGTGAATATATATGTATATATAGATATAAAGCCTATGTCAAGTCATTATTTACTCCTAATGATTAATCAAAACGGTGATTAATTGTTGTTTCGTTTCGTCTTAAAATAAATGATAATACATGTTATCAAAATGGCCGACAGTTCCTTGCGAAGAGAATTAAATATTTTGATAGCTGAATTCGTTTACAGTGGCTTCATATACGTCATGTAAAAATACAAGCATGCCTATCGGATATCATTATTTCAAATTATAATATCACCACTGGTCGAAAACATAAGAACAAGTTGAATAGTGACGATTCTTGAGCGAGAAAACAGTTCGACATTTGTAACATATTACCGTCACCAAAATGGTATAAAAGTTAACGACGAGTATATTGTAAGCATCTCTTAACAAATATAGGCCTACATGTAATTGGAATTTATACCATTCTATCAGGGATTCAGATTCTCATATCTTTACGGTAACTGAAAATAACAATAGGCCCATTGTGCACACAACACATAAATTTATAGAAAATTGGCAATCCTTGGATGAGATTTGACTTGTAAATACTGAAAATATATTGTGAGTACGGTGTTCAAATAGACTTGAGTCACCAAAACTAAATTCTGATCTTATTGAATCCAAACATTGCTAATCTATTATGTAAAGACAGATTTGTATATATCGGTAATTGTTTTATAAGCCTAGCTGAGACATAAAATTGTTAGGTATTGTCTTTTCTATCACACATTTTTGGCAGATAAAATATTCCAGTTGGCGGAAAAAAATATGAACATTTTTTTTATATTAAAATTATCATCCATTTTGGTGGGAAAAAATCGAAAGCCAATGTGAGCCCTGGGTACCCGAGTTAAAAAAAAAAAAAATCTTGTAGACAGTCATTTGATATTGTTGTGAAAATTATTGCTACCTCGGTATGACTTTGGAATCTGCGGAAAATATTTCCAAAACTGTCAAGAGTTCTTTTACTTGCATACGAATGTGTACACAAACCTTGTTTTTTTGCTCCATCTGAATGACTAGACACTGTTCCATGTCAGGCCCTCCATCCTGCAGCACTGACAAAGGGAAACTATGCCGGAAAATGAAGAGGAACTTTAACAACCAACACCGTGACCGAACTTCCTGGTTAATGAGCCGGGGGATCACGTGCCTAAGTGGGTAAGACGCTGGCTCGCTAGCCTGGAGGTCAGGTGTTCGATTCCTGCATTGGCCGAGAAAGTTCATCCAGATTTTCCGGCGTGGTTCCCCCTTGTCAGTGATGCAGGACGGAGGGCCTGACAAGGACAGCTGTCTAGTCCTTTGGATGAGACGGAAAACCGAGGTCCTGTGTATACATTGGAATGCATGTAAAAGATCCCTTGGCAGTTGGAATTCGATATAAGAGTAGGCGATAGTGCCGCTGCCCGGGCAAAATTTCCCTCATAGCACACTGTATGGAGTATGCCCGTCTTCATTAGCCCAGCATAGGAGCAGAACATTTCTGGTTAATGAGCAAGTGTCTTACTCACTGGGCCAACGCAGCTCCCAATAATAAAAATACAATACACCAAGTGCCAAAAGTAAATAAAATGTATGGGGAAGATACAATCTGATTAAGATACAGATCTATATTTCGTTTCGTTTTTTTATACTTTCGATGGCCTACACTACATGAAGATCTGACAAGTTATATCCATAGGTCACGTCAGAGAGAAAGAGAGAGAAATGGGGTTTAACGTCCAGTCGACACAAACTAGGTCATTTCGGGACTAACATGGTATAATTTTATTTTAATAAATTGCTTGTGCATAGGGGTCTTTAGCAGTGGGAGGAAACCGAAGGACCCGGAGAAAACCCACGAGGTTGGACAGGCGACCCTACTCCTTGTCACGTACAACCGGGGATTCGAAACCACGCCAGTCGACTCAATGACAGACTTTATGATACAGCGCGCGCACGCTAACCATTCAGCCATCCAACCCCCCAGGTCACGTCAGGGGTCAAAAGACCGACTTATGATCTATGACGTCAGACATTTGATTAACCAATCAACATTGATATTACTAGTGGATTACCCACTAACGAAATAGGTTCTGTGTTTTAACCAAATTGGGGGGAAGATATTGCCTTGTAATGTCTAAAAACTGATGGTTATCTATAATGATATACCACTTGCAGGTTCATGTTAATAAATGGTGAAAGTAATAGATGTTTATGTTCTGTTGATGTAAATTCATGTACATCAGGTAAGTATTTTCTTGTTTATTACAAATTTAACATCCAGTACATTATAATATGATATTATGGACAGGTTGATTTAATTAAGTTATTTACATATCAAGGTGTATTGTAATGAAAAAGGAAATGAGTAAAAACATAAAAAGTTCTAGTGTATCAAAATTTCACTTTAAAACATGGTGTTAAAATTCACAGGTGGAAGAGAGGGCGGGTCATCTTCTCCCTTTGTCATGATAAAAAACAGGTTAAAACAGGAGGTCCAGCTGACTGATGTTTGGTGTCATCAGTGCAGATAGAAAAATCCCTGTGAAGAAAACAATATGGAAAAGCAAAGTTCTCGCAGTAAAATCCACCTAGCTGGACCCGTGGATTAGTTACATATTAAATTGTTTTCCCCACAGGGTTTTTAATTTAAAACTACAAGATTATATCCATTTTGTTAAAACAGTTCTTTATCTCTGTAAGGTAGCCACTGTTTATATTTAGATGGTAGTATAAATACTGTACTGTTTATATAGAAGGGGTAGTATAAATACTGTATGGATTGTTTATATATAGAGGGGGTAGTATAAATACTGTACTGTTTATATAGAGGGTAATATAAATAATGTATGGATTGTTTATATATAGAATAGAGAGGGTAGTATAAATACTGTATGGATTGTTTATATATAGAATATAGAGGGTAGTATAAATACTGTATGGATTGTTTATATATAGTGGGGGTAGTATAAATACTGTACTGTTTATATAGAGGGGGTAGTATAAATACTGTATGGATTGTTTATATATAGAGGGGGTAGTATAAATACTGTACTGTTTATATAGAGGGTAATATAAATAATGTATGGATTGTTTATATATAGAATAGAGAGGGTAGTATAAATACTGTATGGATTGTTTATATATAGAATATAGAGGGTAGTATAAATACTGTATGGATTGTTTATATATAGAGGGTAGTATAAATACTGTACCGATTATTCATTTTAGAACACAGTATAAATGGTGCAAGAAGAAGAGAGATATTACGGTGCTATTATCAAAAAGTTATAGGAACTTATTTCTCCAGTACAATAGAAGGCAGTGAAAATGGTTGGTTGAATTAAAGACCTCTTTTCCAATATACAATAATTATTGTTATTTCACAACATGCATGGGGGAAAAACATGGATTTTTTAGGGGATGTTTGCAAAAGCAAAATGATAAATGATATATCAATCAGTGGAAAAAAATATTTAATTAGTGCTTGTCCAATTAAATAGCCTACTATTTAAAGGAGAAATCCCAAATAGTAAACACAACTGTTAAATCAGGGTGAAACACTTCTGCAGACCTTTAACCTTGTCCTGTACTTCTATCTGGGGCTGTCTTACTTTCTGGAAGAAATACAAACTGTCAGTTTCCATTTGGGCCCCCAATTCTACAAAAATGGAAGTGCCAGCGTAACACTGATATACCTTAAATGCATCCCTTAGCTATTAAGCTAAATGTAGTGACGATTTCCTAACTGTTCATCTTGACATAAGTACAAATTATTACATAACAGGGTTATGCCTGTTAATTTGATACATGGGCGGAAAGAAAGAAAGAAATGGGGTTTTAACGTCCACTCGACTCAAACTAGGTCATTTCGGGACTAACATGGTTTAATTTTATTTCAATAATTCGCTTGTGCATAGGGGTCTTTAGCAGTGGGAGGAAACCGGAGGACCCGGAGAAAACCCACGAGGTTGGACAGGCGACCCTACTCCTTGTTACGTACAACCAGGGATTCGAAACCACACCAGTCGACTCTATGACAGACTTTATGATACAGCGCGCGCACACTAACCATTCAGCCATCCCCCCCTCCCCCCCCCCACAGGGGAGGAGCGATGAATCTCAATTATAGATTCATTATACCAACACCTTGATGATGCAATTTGATTGGTCAAGACTTTGGAACATAATCGATTGTGTTCAAAAAGATAAATGTGCAATTAATTAGTATGTGTCATCTATTTATGAGATTGTGTCGGGGGACATTAGCTATAGTTACATTGTGTGATAATTTGTGTCTGAAAATACCTGTGACAGGTGATGTCTAGGCTTGTATATTTACATTGTATGATAATTTGTACTTGACAAAGTCTGTGACAGGTGATAATATGTACTTGACAGGTGTGTTATGTCCAAGTTTAGAGATAGGTGTAATGGATAAAAAAAAGTATTAATAAGAATAGGCTTGATATGTTTTGGAGCTCCTGCGTTATTAAGGAGGGGAGGGGGCATCAATTTCGTAAGATCTGTCAATGAGTTAAGTCACTGTCATGGTTTTCATTCCCCTATTGTTTGTGACAAGAAGTAGGATCATCTGTCTAACCTTATGGGTTTCTCTGGGTCCAGCCACTGTTAAAGACCCACATTTTAGTCCCGAAAAATGACCTAGTTTGTGTCGAGTGGACTTTAAACCCCATTTCTCTCTCTCTTGTGGTATTCTTTATATCAGTATCATATTTGTGTTTAATCTATTATCTGATCTATACTTCCTCACATTCAGTTAGATTCTGCTTTAAGCCATTTCACCTTACATTATAAAAAAATGTTCACATCCCAACCCACGTCATCATCCCAAAATTTTGTTTTATTTGTCTTTACTACACTAGGATCTGGAAAAGTTGTTATCATTGACATGTTCTGGGTGATGTAAGGGATTAGCCAATGAAACGGTCTGTTATGGCAAGCTTTTGGCATGAAGTGTACAGAACTGTGGGTAAACAGCTAGAAACGTCAACACTGATTGATTTTTCAATGTCTGACATCATAGGGTCAAAAGCTCCCAATACAACTGGTCAGATCTTCATGTAGTGTAGGCCATTGAAAGTATAAAAAAAACGAAAAGATATATAGATTTGTATTATAATCAGATTGCATCCCAACCCCCCAGTCTTAATTGTTTGGCAGTGGCGTTGTATTTTTTTCACTTATTTGTAGGTCCAACAGAGTTTGCTCACAAACCATTTGAAACATATGTTGTTACAGAGAGCTATAAAATATATGCCTTACAACTCAACACCTATCATTTTTTCGTGCTGTATACCATAGACATTCCCACATATGCCATGAGGTAGGTACCCATTTTTATGTTATAAAAGTTAAAAACATTTGGGTAAACACCTTTACAACAATAGAATATCAGATGTCTTTGACACAATAACAAGGGTTTAGAGTTAGTGCACCAGCTCTCAAATGGAAAAGATCATGCGGTTTCAATGCGGTTTCAATGAGGTAGGTACCCATTTTTATGTTATAAAAGTTAAAACATTTGTGTAAACACCTTTACAGCAATAGAATATCAGATGTCTTTGACACAATAACAAAGGTTTAGAGTTAGTGCACCAGCTCTCAAATGGAAAAGATCATGCGGTTTCAATGCAGTTTTCAGCGCTATTACTTCATATCAGTAATCTTATTGCTTGACCAGTGTCAAACATATGCTATGGCTCATCTATGTTATACATCATCTCTAGCATGTTTCATACAGTCCAATGCTTCTTGGAGAGAACCCCCTGGATCCCTAATGATACAATGTATATAGATCAGGTTTTTGTGCGCCCAAAGGATCTTGTTCCGTATGGAAAATCAGTGATGACCAAGCCCTTGACCCTCGTTATTGATTTTAACAATTTTAACAATTTCTGTTATTGATTGTGGGAGCCACAGTGGGTCAGTGAAGTGAGTAAGACATCTCGGTAACCTGGGGGTCCAGTGTTTGATCCCTGTGTTTACCCAAAAAAGTTCATCAGGATTTTCCTGCATGGTTCCCCCTTGTCAGTGATGCAGGACCGAAGACTTGGCAAGGGAAAATGTAGTAATTCAGATGGGACAAACAACTGAGGTCCTGTGTGCATGTTGGCATGTGCGTAAAAGAACCCTTGACAGTTGGAATTCGAAATAAGAGTAGACATTAGTGCCGCGGTCTGGGTAAAATTTCTCTCTTAGCACACTGTATCGTGTATGCCCATCTTCATTAGCTCAGTCAGAGTAGGACGTTAAACCCCATTTCATTTTCAGTTCATTTTGTTATTGATTATTTATGACCAAGGTTTCACCATGGGCCATATAGATTATTGCAGCACAAGTTTTTATTGTCTGCATTCAGTATTCTTTGCATTTTAATCTGGATTATTTTTTCACTTAAAGATACATTATGGGAGATTTTTTATAGAGAGTTGGCCATTCTTGCTATAACAGTTCAAAAGTAGATGATGAAAAAAGAATATATTTAAAATTTCAGTCAAATTGCTTTATTCTGAACATAGTTATCATTGTTGTAATATTTGACTAGAAATGGTAGTGAAATGTACCTTCAGCTAGGCCGATCGTTTGATTGACAGGTGTTAACTCCACCTACATATCTCGATTATCAAGTAAAGTTTTCAATGGCATGCGGAAACGCTCTACAGCGGCCTCGCTAAGTACACTCTATCATTTAGCCTCGATCTAACTGATGTATTCTCATCGGGGTGCGCCATATTTGAATTAATCAATCAAATGAAATCATATTTAAATCCGAGCTGTAGCCGAGCCATCCGTGGGTCTACAGATTTGATTTTGGGCTTGTTGTTTAAATAAAGATCTAATTTATAATTTCTATAACATCTGAAGCCTAAATTAAGACTTGCAATAATCAGATTTTGCTCTTGCATAATGTATGTTTAAAGTGCTGTCTTGTGCCATAATGTCAGGGTTCAAATCCCCACTTTGGTCAATAATCCCTGTTCTTATAGTCATAGTGTTAGGCAGTAAAATAAGGTTCACTAGTGTACATATTGTACAAGACTCTAGGCATTGGGAACTCAAAGAAGAGGTGGCTGAAATACTGCAGTCAGGCCAATATTCCCCTCCCCTAACCCTGGCTAAACATAGAATTGAAAGATACCATGACTACATTATTTATATTGATCTCTTATAAGAACATTACCAGCCAAGGAAAGTTAGTTAATATTACTATCCTGTTTCATGACAATCATTGTAATCTACCTTAGTACTAATATCCGTTTGAATTCGATTTACCTTCGGCCAATTAGTAATTATGTCAGGTTTCATTTCTGTTTATTCAACCTATCCCTTGCCAATTAATATTTAGTTTATATAAAGAAACATTATGTAAGATTTAGATAAAAGGCTGGCCGTTATTTTAAAAATGGATGTTGAAAAAGGAGAATATTGAAAATTGCATTCAAATTTCTTGATTCTGAGCAAAGTTATGACTGCTTGAAGTTTTGATAAGAATAGCATAGTCTTGATTTTCATTGCTACCAATGTTACAGTAATAAACAAAGTCTTGATTATCCAGTTTTAGATTAAATTATTAAATGGAGATTGTGTTTCAATCCATTAAAATCTAGAGAATTGATTATGGACTTGTCTTGTGAATAAATGTCTTATTAATAATTTATATAACATTTGAGGCCAAAAGAAAGGCTTGTAATAGACAGATTTAGTGCTTACATAGTACATCATTAAGTTAGGAAATGAAATGAAATGCACCAAACTGGGCTAATAAAGACGGACATCCACCATACAGTGTGCCATGAGGGACATTTTGCCTCTGAAGACTCAACACTGTCCTTCCCAGGCCCCCCATCCTGCATCACTGACAAGGGAAACTATGCTGGAAAATCCACAAGAACTTTTTTCTGCCAACACTGGGGAGGGAACCCGATACTCCAGATTAACTAGCCAGTGTCTTATTCACGGTGGTAAGTGGTTGTACGTGAAAATGAGTAGGGTCCAATCTCATGGGTTTTCTCCAAGTCCTTGTGTTCCCCCCCCCCCCCCACTGCTAAAGATCCCACACGCAAGCGAATTATTGAAATAAAATTGAACCATATGTTAGTTCTGAAATGACCTAGTTTGTGTCGAGTGGATGTTAAACCCATTTCTCTCTCTCTTAGTCACAGTACTGTCAGATTTTACAGGAATTGGATTTAATACAAATTTGATTAACATCCTTTAATGATAAAAGTGGAAAACTGCAAGTGACGGGTAGCTGTCCCAGAGTTCTAGTTTCATTCTATTTGAACTCTTCAGATTTAGTCCCAATGGGTACCTACCCAATCTGTTTCACAGAGGATTACGAAAGTCTTCTAATATCTCTGTAAAAGATGACTGCATTCAACACATGGCATCACAGCATGCGGCGCCAATCATTGGCTCAATGACGCGTGCATTGTTTACATAATACCAATTTACACTAAATAGGAAATAATTTTTACCTACAAATACGTCAAAAGTCATTATTTATTTTTCTAATACATAAAAAAAATGTTTTAGAATTTAATTTGTCGGTGGAAAAAAGTTAATATTTGAGACTCATTAAGTCACATTGATGTCATCCTTATCAGTGATTATAGTGGCCTAGCGAATATTCACTTCTGATCAGTGTACCTACCCTCTTTGTTTGCATATACTTTAATGATGTTATATTTTTTTCATTTTAGGTCAGTTACTCAAAAATCATTGAATATTCTGATAAAAGATAAAAACGTACTCATTTGATTTATAAGGACGTAATGAACACAGGATACCAAGATAGGTTCAGTTCAGTCTATCTACTTGGATATGAAATTGTGACCGATGTGATGCAAGGAGTTCGATGGTTGTATTACCTCTACAAATTGTGTGAAGGCATATAATAGTAGTTGAACGAGAATGGAACCAAAGGAAGTAGTTTTGATGGTGAATACTATGTTGTGTTCAACCTCACCTCTACAGGCATCGCAAACTGAACAGCAGTAAATATTCACTTGGTCGCTAATATCACTGAAAGGGATGACATTGGTGCAAGCTAATTGACTCTTAATATTACATATTTTTCTTTTTCAAATTCAATTCTAAAACATTTTTTTTAAATTATTTAGAAAATAAATAAAGGTGTTGAAAGTATATCTGGATAAATAATATTTCCTATATGGGGATCGCTTAAAATTGTATATGAAGGCTTCAAATGAGGAAACAGCACCAATTCTGTCCACACCAGTTTATAAATAACTATAAACAATGGATATGTTATATGATGCTGTGATTTGACGTCACAGGTAGACCTATACTGAATGTATACTGAAAGATGAGTCATCTTGCACTAGAGCTGCGCGATATCCGTGTATCACTATATCACAATATCCCTGTATGACTATATCATCGCGTTGTTTGCGATATCACCTCGGTGGAAGCGGATGTTAAATAAAGCTATTTCACACTCACTTTATCGCGAGATTTTATAAAATGTCAATAATTTCAGTTTATCAGGTTTTAAATGTAAATAAACATGCACAAAAAGTTTGAAATACACTTGACACCTTCTAGTCAGTATTATTAAAAGTTTTTAGCATAAATACAGTACTGAATTTACAAACAAAATTGAATGAGCTGGTTCTAACATAGATCCAATCATAGAGTTTATAAAGGTCCATATGATCTAATAGCCATGAAGACTTGTTCAAATTATTGGTCTATGTTGTTTATTACAATTTTAAGTTCCAGTTTATTAATTATGATATTTGATTTAAATTAAGGGGAGGCACTGCTCGACAAATATGAATTTTTAAAATAACTGGCTTCTAATAATGCTATCAACTTGAAATTTTCAGGAATTGTTCACATCGACAAAATAGGCTAATCGGCAGTTTTGGGGGAATCTGCTTTTCTGGTTACCATGGAAACAAAAAAAATCATTTTTACTGCTTAAAAAAAATCGTTCTCTGAAAGTATCAAAGGTAGAAGCCTGGAACTTTTTTTAAAATGTTCCTAGGACATTTCTCTGTGCAATTATCAATATGGTGTTGTTATTGTGTCCTTACATGTCATTCTATTCAACAAAACAAAAATTATGAAAAATGTTGTTTTCAATGAGAGATTTCAAATGCCAATTTACTACACTAAAAATTCATTTAGAGTACTGAAAATCCTTATTTGCATGGAACTAACATTACTTAAGTATGTGTGTAAGTTTCAGACATATCTGTTGTAAAGTTTTCAAGAACGATTTTTTGTAAGGTTGTCGACTTTTGATATTTTACTTTTTGAGAAATTAAGACATAAAGAGGTAAACAGCAAAATTTG